ATTTGGGCTTTAAACTGTGAGATGTGTAGTGTATTTTAGACCAATATTTATTCTTCTCTACTGTGTGTTAGCAAAATGTATTTCTGTTAGTATAGACTACATTAACATACAGTCAGACTAATAATAAATTGCTATTAAAATGTGACTTTTCAACTATTCTTGTTGGTGTTAGTGGCAAAAATCAAACCTAATTTTATAATCTCCCGCTTCAGATAAGAAGTTAGACCTGCACTGTAATCCTGATATTTTTTTCAGTAACAAATGTTTTCACACTCCAGGCATGAACTTCAGTTCCAAAAGGAGACCAGTGAGACAACTGCTCCTTTTTCACCGCGCTACACGTTGTTTAAACTCCCTGTATTTCAGAACAAGTTAAATTCCTAAACCCTAGATGTATTCCTGGATCGCGTATATTAAGGAAGCAAAGGCCAGAGGTGCACAACTCCTTGAGAGCCAGAATCCAGCAGGTGTTCCAGGTCTTTTTAACTACAGTTCAGCTGCAAAGGAACAAGTAATAGGTTTATTCACTGCTGAAAAGAGAAGAAAGAAAACACAACGTCTCAGCTGTGGAGCCTTCTTCGGGGGTGACACAACACAACATTCGGGGGTGGCGTTGTGTTTTCTTTCTTCTCTTTTCAACATGGAAAAAACCTATTACTTGTTCCTCTTTAACAAGACCTCAGAAAATTGTTAAACTGGACCAGTTAAACTGATGTTGTGCAGCTGGGTAGCTGCGTCAGCATGCGTAGGCTGCAAAGGAACAAGTAGTAGGTGTATTCCATTCCGAAAAGAGAAGAAAGGAAACATAGTCATCAGTTAAACTGATGATCAACTCAGTTGATGGCATAAAAAAACCTGCAGACAGTGTGACCCTCAAGGACTGGAGTTGTGAATCAGTCCTTTAAGGCAACGAATTTCCTACTTTCGTTTTCAGAATTCTTTAATCTGACCGAGCCTTGGTTCTGATTAATCTGCATAAATGGCATTGTATAGCAACAGGGCCCTTGTCAAGGACAATCCATGTCTATTTTTCCCCCTTTTCTCCTTTTGTCACCTCCTTTCATGTTGATTTGACCAAATACAGTTTTCCCAAATTCCAAATTTATTGGTCCAGTTTTTTATAAACTGCTAATTAAACCTGCTGTTGTTTGCTTCAATATGCATCAACAGCTAATGGCTCATTCTTTGTGCTGAAGGAGGGTGTTTGCAGATGAAGTGTGGCAAAGACCTGCTAATGCATCACTGACTGGGCTCTGTGTTTTCTTCAAAAGAATTTCTGCAAAACTGATTGCCAAAGCTGGAAAACTTCATAACATAAATAGCCCTCTTTTTAAAACCACAGTCTATAAAAGCAACCCTGAGCAGACCCATGGTGACCCTTTGGTAAAAATAATACCCAAGCGCAGTTTATAGGCTGTCAGTCTTAGGGTTAATAGCTCCCACAAAAATAGAATGCATTCTAAGAGCTCTGTGGGAGAAAACTAATATTTAATCATAAAGCCTCAAGTTCTTGTGACTAGTCCAAAATCTGGCAGAAATAATCCCATCGCGAAACCCTTTATCCAAAGAAGGGATTCATTTTCATGGTCCTGAACTCAGTCATTTCAACTTCCATTGAAATTGAAATGTCCAATAGTCGCTCAAACTCTTCAAAAATTTCAGTGTTCTAATTTACCTCCATGTCTTGCAATCTTGGTATAATTTGTTTGTTTGCTACATGGGATTGGCTCTCATTTTTTAAAATCATTATTACAGTACAAATGCTCAGGTAATCTGGGAGTGTGTGCTGCTTGGGTTCTATTATTAAACAGCTGAATCCATCAATTCTCCACTTATACTGTACTGTATGTTTCTTAAGGTTTTATCTCGTATTCATAAATGAGATAAACCATTCATAAACCAAAGCGTGGCTAAGTGAATACAATCTGCAGTTTCTGTCTCAAATCTTTAAAAATAAATGTACTCCCTCCCATGCTCATGTGCCAGTGGGGCTCCATGCTCTACACACACAGCAGGCTCAAAGCAGGCTGTCATGACCATGGTCACAACTCTCCCGGCTGCAGCACGCCTGAACTACACACTGGTGACTCCTATGGCCAGAAGCAGCATCTTCCTTTGTCTTTTAATCAAAGAATCAACTTTATTTTCTTCTTTGAATTCTTACTGTGATCATCAATGTATCTTTAATGTGAGGTTGCACACACAATATTTTACATGAGATCCTACACATACTGTATGTAAAACATACATACTCTCAATAAAACATACAGTACTGTATATTGTACAGTATGTTATATATATATACTGTATCTGCAGTTGAAAACATATTGCATATTGATAAATGGCCTAAAAGGCATGGCAGTAACTGAAGACGGTGGACTTTCAGAGCTTCAAGTCACTTGGTCAGCCTCATTGTGCAGCACTTGCAATTTTCCACTCTTTAGTCATCTGTGTTTAGTCATTTTTCACTCTTTGATTAGACGTGTATATATAGTAGTATACCCTAGCATGTAC